GCACCAACGTTCCTTGGTTCTCATATGCGGGAAGCGTGTGCGAGTCGAATGCAGGTATTCCAACACCTGGACCGAAGGTTCCGCCTTGCGGCACGTAGGTTGCAGATGTACGGCCGTCGCCAGAAGGGATTGACAAAGGTGTTCGGTTATAGAGTTGTTGGTTCGCGGGGACCAGTGGAGGAGGTGGAGGAGGAGGGGGTAGATAGCCTTGGGACAGTGCTTGTCTTGCCGCCCAGTTCTGCTGCCATCCAAGGGTGTTTTGGGCTTGTACTTGTGGGTTGGATATCTTCGCAGCACCGTATGCTGTTCCTGGGGGTGGTCCGGGAGGTGGTGGGGGAACTACCCCTTGAGTTTGTGCTGGCTGATATCTCGGAGGGGGAGGAGGTAGTAGTATGTGCGACTGAGAGGACTGCGCCGAGGGAGGCGGTTGAACCGGAATATACTGTTGCTGCCGTTGACCGTCCATGGTATCAGTCTTTTGGTATATGCCAATGCTATAGGGTACACCAAGTCGTCAAGAAACCCCGAATATTCTCCGCAGCTGCCTGGTCCTCTTCCAGCACACGCTTTCCTGAATCCTGGCAAACGTGATCCCAGAATTTTATGGTATGAAAGTGAAACTCATCATCGGCGCTCAGCACTGTTTCGGTGGATAAATATTCTGTAACGGCTTTCGCTGTAGGCGCGTGGATACTCGAGGAACAACCAGTCTTGTTTTTAGAGGAAGGATGGTATTGGGCAAATATAAAACATCTCCGGGTTTATCAATCAATGATTTGGCTCTATGTCCCAAGCAGTACCCAGTGTCTTCAGCCAATTATGCACAAATGGTGTTACAGGCAGTAAGCTGGCGCTGTTGATTTCAAGGTTTACTCTCGATTGCGCGGATGGCGTGGGAGGCAATCCAGAGAACTCCGAAGGCGCGATGGGAATGAGGTGAAGCATTTATTGGCAGGACAAGAAACCAAATATTATTGTCTTAAAGCAGCTAAGTGTGAATAAGTAAGCGATAGCCTCGAAAAGGTGCGTTGATCAACCCCTGATCGTAGTAGGCATGCTAGAGTAGTATCATCGCAGGGGGAGGGGGGTAAATCGGAAGGGCCGACGGGGAGAAGTAAAACATACCACAGCCACTTAATATTAAATTGCTGGGAGGAGAGCGATAGTTAGCTCCCTGACTGGATAGATGACAGCTGGTCAAATCTTGGCGCCACGAAGGAGTTATTGCCGGAGCTTCTCAGCTTGGGTCGAAATGCGCTCTCTCAATCACGGTCGGGGTAATCAAGCAATCGAGGCCCGGCCGAATTGTTTTAACGGGAGGAGTTTAATTAACGAAAGAAACGCCAGAGCTTCTGACGCCAAATCACGTGGCCGATAAGCACCCGTCTTGTTTCTCTCTCACCTTCTTTCTTAATTTTTCTTATAAATGTTAATTTTATTCGACTCCATATCGTATTTTACTTTAAATTAATCCTTATTCCTTTGCTTTGACTTGCCTTTGTTTCTCTCCTTTTAATCCAAGGATCTAGCCCTCCATTAAATGCCGCCATTTCCGAAACAACTTTGATTACGGTTCCTCTTTTCTCGCCAAGGAGTTTCTCACCATAAGCTTGTCTCGAGTCATTGGAGGATGTGATAGGCAAGAGATTTGAGACATGTTGTTCAGTCAACCTCGTTTAGAGGCAAACTAGTGATGTTTAGGATCTATAGCGCATGAGAAGTTGAGAACACCTCACCAGAACTACCTCCTTTTCCCCACTTTTAATTGTTGAACGTTTCTTTCAGCCCTACAGCGGTTCCTGAGTCCAGCTTAGCCACACTTTCTTCCCTGAACAGCACTTGAACAAAGCTTGTTCAACCACCCCCCGTACACCCGAGATTCTTGTTCTTCTCCTTTTTTCCTTATATTCCAAGAACATTTAATTCATTGTGGTTCAATCCAATTGATTCGAGTGTTAACTTAAAAGTATTAAGAAAAAGGAAGAAAGAGAGGTGAAGTAGAAAAAGAACTCATTAAAACTATCGCAATGAACAGGAACTCTTAACCACGTGTCATGATGAAATTAAAGATCCATGGTGGCATGCCAACTGAAACCGATTTCCCGAATCGTAAAGAAGGAAAGAGCTTGGTCTATTCCGGAGTATGTTTTGAAGAAATTAAAGGGACTTGTTCCGCTCAGCGGCCGATTCGGCTGTCAACTTCAAACTGGCTGGGCAATCGTCGCGAGGCATGTGGAGCTCAACCAACTATTCTGATTAGTATCACTGGTACTTTTCAGACAGGGGCAAACGGGTGGTAACCTACCTGTAGACAAGGTGCCGAAGCAAACTCTTCATTTGCGAAAAGCTCCCTCAACTCGTCCCGGGTTGTGACTTTGTATCCTTTATACTTGTCCTTCGCGCCGAATGCCACAGGGATGTTCAAGAAGTCCCAGGGCTGGATGTCATTGTAAACAGCTTCCCATCCATGAATATACCGTTCGATGGTATATCCTTCGTTGCAAATGACAAAGCTACGTATGATGTTAGCTGGGCATGAGACTTGTGACACTCAAAGGTGAAACTTACATGATAGGGTTAAGGTTATTCCTAATCATGGTGCTGACTTCCTGGAGCGTCAGCTGGAAACTTCCATCGCCCACGAAAAGTACAGTTCGTCGACCCTGCTCCTTCGCGGCCAGCGCGGCTCCTTGACAGGCTCCGACTGAATAACCGATACTACCCCAAAGAACCTGGCTAATGGCTGTAACACCTGCTGGGAACCGAGTGTCCCAGATACCGAAGTTGGCAGTGCCAGTCTCTGTGATAACAACATCCTTTTCTTTCAACCACTGCCCGACTGTAGGCCAGAGCCATGCGTGGGTAATCGCCTGTTCAGTTGATGCCTTCTCGTTGTCTGGCAGTAGGTTCGACGGCGGCGAAACTGGCCCGACATTGAGATTACCCATTCTTTGAACAATTTTTTGAAGAACGCCTTTCATGTTAATATCAGGATATTCGGAGTACCGGACGCGCACGTATGTACTGTGGAAGTCAATGGTGTTGAGTTGGCCAATACGGTAGGAGAATCCAGTCGTGTTGAAATCGGACTTGATAGCACCGATGCTCAGAATCAAGTCTGACGACTCGACTTGCTCACGAACACCGGGGTTTGATCCAGTGCCAGCGTAAACACCGCCGTAGTTCTTGTGAGTCTCGTCCACTGCTCCTTTACCCATTGGAGCCACGAATGTGGGTAACCCAGATTTTTCCACGAACTCTTGAACTTCGTCGAGCACACGATGGCGGATAGCACAAGCGTCGACAAGAATAACGGGTTTCTTTGCAGCGTGCAGATACTTCAGAACCACGTCCACAACATAATCTTCCTTTTCGGGATCGTTCGGTGGCAGGCTGAGGTCGAGAGGGGTATCCAGCCGTTCTCCCTCAATCTTCTTAGTCACCATATCGGTAGGGAGAGAGATATAAACCGGTCGACTGCGAATCCAACATTCGCGGATAGCATTGTCAATGAGGGTCGCCACCTCATGAGTTTGGTTCAAGCATCCAAGAGTGCAAGAGATGTCGGCGCTCATTCTGGTGAAGACGTTGAAGTCGCCGTTGCCCAGAGTGTGATGGAGGAGCATCCCATCCTTCTGTGATCTCGTATGCGGTTGGCCAACGATGTGGACAATAGGCACAAACTCGGAGTATGCACCAGCAATAGCATTGAGTGCCGATAGCTCACCCACACCGAAAGTGGTGACCAATGCAGCCATTCCATTGATTCGAGCATATCCATCAGCAGCGTATCCTGCATTTGACCACTGTTAGCGATATACACTACTCCTTTATCATGCTCAGAGATCCCAATGGTCATTCAGTAGAGACATACCAGCATTAAGCTCATTACAGTTTCCTACCCAATGAAGATCGCATTTTGGCAAGTAATCTAAAGCCACCAGGTTGTAATCCCCTGTGAGAATTGATATTGTCAGTACTTGCGTCGAAAGCTAGCACGTTGATACTTACCAGGAACACCATGTACTGCACGAACGCCAACCTCACGGAGTCGCCTAAAGAGGTACTCAGCGACATCTATGGGCTTGCGAAGATCCCTCGTAGCGATATCTGTCGCCATTGTAAGGACTCAAGAAGAGAAATGGAAGGTATAGTAGATGATAAGGTCTTGATTATGGTCTTTTGAATACTGGATTCGTCCTGGAAATATGGACAAGGGGGGGTAGTTATATAGCAGTCCTGTACACCTCGATGTGCAACAAAAAGACTGACCATACGTCATGATAACGTGATGTCATGGGCTTCCAGGCCGAGTTGGACAAAACAGAGTACACCAAAATTACAAACTTACAATACCGTCAGCCACCGCTGCCATAGTTAAGGTCGCAATGCAGTTAAGGGCTGCGGTAAAAGAAATACAAAGTGTCTGGGCTATCCCTAGGGTAGTCCACGGTGAAGAACACTTGCGACCCAACGCAATGGAGAATGGGCCGATGGTTGGAAGATAGTCTATATCGGGATCTATCTGATCACTGGTATATCCCTGGTTCTCCATGCCGACGAACCCGAGGCTCCGAGTCGCTGGCGTGACAGTCAGCCCACCCCACCCGATACGGATGGGATGATACTCTTCCACTAAACCGAATGTGGACGTCTCGACACCCCCGCGGCGTTGCCGCAATGCCAATGATAATCAAGAATTTCCAGGGAAGACCACACAGCGGCACAGCGGCGAAACGGCATCAGACACTAGCATTATTGATATGTTTATCTGGCCAAACTCGTGCAAACATACAGCAACCTTAACTTTTTTTTAGAACTAATCCCTGCGAGGAAAGGACGGCACCACTACCTAAATTTGACTCGGACTACATCCGTGAATGGCGGGAACAGGAAAAAGGACCATGCCGGACAACTCATCTCAGTCCTCCAAAAGAAGAAAGGTTGGCCTACTTTTGCTTCACCTCTCGGCAAGCGTGATCCAATGATTATCCAAACTTTCCCTCCTTCTCTTCGTTACATACGTTGCGCGGTAGTCAGGAGATCTAACGTGTGCTACAGGGAGGCAGTAATTGGCATAAGCGCCAAAATGGCAACTCTGGCATTGAAAGTGGGGACTGGGGAGTTTTTGTATCCTGCGAGATAGGAAAGGAAGGGAAATGCATCTCAGAGGTGCTTGATCTCTTCTCCCAGGTTAGTACGATTCTATGGGAGAACCTTTGACCAGAAAGATGCTGTGCTCTGCAGCAATATTCCGGACTCTTCAATTGTGCAGCTGACATATGCCCTGCGCACCAGAGCATCGAAACGCCAGATGCGGGAGGTCAAGGTGGTGATTCCAGCTCGGAGGACGAAGATGATATCGAAGCCCAAATTAGAAAGGAAGTCGAAGGGCTGAAGCCTAGTTCGGCCAAACCTCGTCAGTTTCAGCCCATCAGGCTGGACATTCCGTGTGGTTCGTAGATACTTTTAGCGCTATCCAGATATGGCACAACTAGGACTAAGATTGATCCAGTATCCTTTATACGATTCGATAAGTCGATTGATCCCGAGAAACTAGTCCACCAGATCTGCGTGGATGCGCATGCCAATCCAAGCAAAAAGAGAAGCCGATACATCCAACGGATGACGCCTGTCAAATCTATCCGAAAGACCCTCAGTGTTGATCTAGAGGCTTTTGCACGTGAGATTTTAAAACCTCACTTTCACTCTGGTGGGGGTCCCAAAAAGGTATGTCACAGCACCTTAAGCTTTAAATCTGCAGGCATGTCCTTAGTGTTCACAAATGCAGTTCGCTATCCGACCTGCGATAAGGAGAAACCAAAAGTTCGACAGAGACAGTCTCATCAAAACAGTAGCCAGTGTTGTGGGACCTGAGCATTCTGTTGATCTTGAGAATTACGATCTTGTTATCCTTGTTGATATTATCCAGGTATGTTTCACATTAAACACTGTTCTCCTGCTCTTTAATTACGCTTTTCCGCATGGCTGACCTCTGTTTCCAGAATGTGATCGGGATGAGTGTTGCCGGAAGTGATTACGAGAAGCTTAAAAGATACAATCTGGCTGAGCTCTACAAACCAGCACCAAGCTCGCAGGAAGTTGAGTCCAAACAGTCAACTGACTGAATCTCGGTTTGAGTCGACTTTCGTAGCATATGATACATTTGATTTGAGCGGTGAAAATAATAAATGTCAAACTTGGATATTTAATGCATTATTACAGTATCGCTCTAAAAAACAAAAAGACAAAAGAGGGATAAAAAAAGAACAGAGGCCTGTGGGAAAGTAACGAACAAGTCCGGTACTAGGATGGCTTCAAAGCTCCACAGTGCTTCGTAGAATAGAGTATATAGCATGACCAGGTGAACACCTACTAGGACTGGTAGTAAAGCATTTAGTCAGAATTTGTCATTTCCCTCGCATTTGGGAGGAGGACAAGATCTTAGAAGAACCTTAATGAGGACCAACGCCAGCGGAGATATTTCCAGAACCATGGTCGTGACTTGATAACAGTACTATCAATATTGGGTCTTATGACTCTTCTTTAAATGGAAAATCTCGGGTGGCTTTATCCAGTAGGTAAAATTATGGTACTTAGTTAAGAGGAGAGATACGCTACTATACGTATTGTTGTTCAAAAAATGCGTGTTGGTTACTTATTGAATGCTAGGAGTGGAAGATAGACATCAAGGTACCCACCACTCAAAAGCTAAGTACAATAGCCAAGAGCTTTTTGGATAAGAGGAGGTTCAGATAGAATGTGGCTGAGGTTAGCATGGAAGGCGTTGCGGCGGGCGCTTTAATGCAGCTTAGACAGAATAGGAAGGCGACATAAAAGCTCGACTTACATTGTCCTACTAGTACTACTTACGGCAAGGTTAGACGATTCTTAATGTGCTACCTGTACTTAGCATGGGCCTGTTGGTTCTGGAAACAAAGTGGTGCTCTATGCATGTACATAAATCCATTTTTGTACGCGAAAGTTCAGACTTTATAGTACCACGTACCCACCACCAACAGAGATGTCCAGTTTGAGAAAATGATTGCACAGCGGAAAGACCATCTTTTTTGTCCTCCTTTGCCCAAAATAGCAGTTACACTCGAGTCCATGTGATCCATTCGGTCTAGTCGTCATGGATGGAGGCCCACTTGCTTCCGAGTGGGAACAACTGGAATACTCTCGATTCCAAATCTCCAAACCTTAGGCCAAAGGTACCATTGTTTGACCTGTTACACGTGTTTGCCTCGCCAAAAGGGCGATGGACCAACCTGGTTCCTTCCATTGAAATTGTAGGTACAGACCAGGTTTGTTACTGTTGCCAACGAACTGACTGTTACTCATTTCATGCTCCCACCCCTAACATTAGCAGCTCGCCATAATTCCTCGTCATGATGCGATTCATAATCAAGCATAAAGACCACAGATCTTGAGGGTGTTTCCAGAATCCATCATGATCAGATGTTTCGAGTCTGTTTCAGTTGAGAATGGTATTTCTTCGTTAATATGGTCCAATTAGCGGTCTCCTCCGTAAAGTAAATTTTTTTTATATATCGGAGGATGTTGACTGATTCAGGGAGCCAAGAGTCTCAAAAACCAGCGCAAGACAGGTATAGATAACGGAAGGGGTGTTTTGGGAAATTAATTTGTGAAACTGCAAGTGCACAGATATATTTTGAAGGCGCACAAGTACTAAGACGAGACCACTACCTACAGGGGATCAAAACTCGTTCGGACGGGACGCTTTGTTGTCTTCGGCAAGGCGGACCTCTGATTGGCTCAACCGCAGCGCACCTTTCTAAGAGAGGGAGCCTTAGGCGAAAGCCCCAGTTCTTAATGTCACTCACTCTTTCGACCTCATCAGTGCCCGCATATCTCCGCGCAATCCTGTCGGCTCATTCCCCCGTCTACCCAGCCAGGGGGCACGTTCGCTTGAATTACTACAATGTCATTGAATCCAATTTTCTGGTTTGCTTTGGCGATTTCGGAAGAGAGCCAGTGGATGATTTGCCGGTGGTTGAATGTCTGGTAAATTGAGACAATAGCGTCTCATACAGCCGAACTGCAGAATACATGGGCGAACGAAGCAGGAGTCCTTGATGTGGATCCTCGTTTAGTCGATCCAATTTAACACTTCTGATAGCATCGTAGCCTTGGCTTCGTAGCGCTGTAGGGTGGTATTGGAGGACTTAATGTCTGAACCATTGTTTTTCTTAACCCTCCACGTTCCCTCGTCCCTCATATGTTGCTTTCTATCTTCTATAAAGCTTGGCCATACGTGGATTCGCCCTGGCTTCTATATAACATTCCATAATGAGCAAACTAGTATCTATCTTTGCCGACAAACTATCCTTCAAGCCAGAACAATAAACTATGTCTCCTTCCTTTAGTGACCATTACTCTCCCGGTTTCGAAGTATCTGAGAAACTGTGTACAATTATCCAGCGGATCTTCACTTCTGCGGTCCATGTTAGCAACATTTCTCCCCTTGACGGCCACCTCCATCCACTTTGTCTCTTATCACTATCCAATGGAACCCATGTACTTTTGAAATGTTCGCCGGCACCGATGACACCGTTACTACGGCGAGAGCAATTCATACTTGATACAGAAGCCCGTGCACTTGCTTTACTCAAGCAGAGTGGAATTCCTGGCATTCCGCAAATCTTCCATTACAACTCTCGAGGCAATTTGCGAGATTCCGCCTTTTTGATGCGGCATTATGTGACCGGAGCTACACTACATGAGATGGAACCCTGGCTCACTCCCCAGAATCGGAAAGATATTGACCGGCGACTGGGAGTCTTAGCTCAAAAGATTGGACAACATGTGTCTGATTCCTTTGGGACTCTGGAACAGGTGGCCTGCGGCGCTGGGAGGCGATCCTGGCGAGAGGCCTTTGTTATCCTGTTTGAAAGCATTCTCCGTGACTCAGAGGATGTCTTCGTCAACCTTCCTTATGCTGAGATAAGGCACCAGCTTAGTCGGCTATCACCAGCGCTTGAGGAAATCACTTTGCCACGATTAGTAGTCATTGACTTTGGCCACCCTACGCAAGTGCTAGTAGATCCCGAATCCAAACAGTTATCTGGCATTGTGGACTTGGGCAAAACTCTATGGGGTGATGTCTACATGGGTGAAATATTCGAAGAGCCATCGTCTTCGATGTTGGACGGCTTTGGAGGATCGCAGACGGTAGGAAGTGAGATGGAGAAAATAAGGCAGCTTTTGTATGTGCCTCTGTCCTACAAGGAGTTTGGAATATGTAACACTGACTTTCCTTCTTTGTGACCACTTTTGACAGATATGCCTGCTATCGGTCGGTTGAAAGAGTCACCGTGCAATACTATCGGAATCGAGATATGGTTGCGGAAAATGATGCAAGGAGGCGGTTGACGATGATATTGAACAAGATGGCTGCTATCTGAGGGATGAACCCGGTTCTCAGGCCTACAAAGAGGGACTCGTTCCAAGGGGGTTGCACAGTACCGGCGTTAGGTGTCTTTGATACAGGCCATAGATTTCATTTCCAGCGGGACTCGGAACTACCCAAAGAGAGGGAACGGGAATGGGAACATAGACCTGATAAAGCTAATATGGGGGTTAACTGAAACTCTGCTGGGCGGAAAGCAGTAGGACAGGATCGTCTCAGCAAATGCTCAGTCGATTGTTGCTGCCTAGCAGATCTGGCCTGTAGTACAAACTCTTGGCTTGGGTACAGAACAAGTTTGCCAGGATTTACAAAAGAAATTGCTTTCAGTTGTTTCAGAAATACTGGCGCTGTCTTTGTCAATACCTTGAGCTATTTCCCTATCGCCTCGTTAATAACAACGCGTATAAAGAATTACAGCAAGTAAAAGTACTACCTTTGTTCTAGAGAAGATAGACTAATAGGAGTATAGTTTCCCAGATATTTAATTATATTCCCGGCTGAGTAGAGGATTCCCCGACACATAAAGAACAAGAACACCCTAGATAAAAAACGTTTAGTATAATTTACTTCTATTACTGGTATTTTTCGAGACTCTTCTAATATAGAAGTATGACCATTCAATTTGCTACTGTCTAGCTCTGATCTACTAGATCTTGCGGACTCGGCCTACTATTGTAACCTTGAACTTTTCTACTTCAAAGGCTCGTAAAGCAAATATAATCCTCGCTCAACAGAGCCCCGGACTTAAACCCGCGCTGCTGATTTCACCCACCCAACTTAGCGTTCACAAAACTATGGGAAGGGCTTCAAATAGTCTTTCTGATATACCCCACCTTTTTTATTTCTTGTTCTTTTTTATTTCGATTTTTTCCACCTTCTTCTTTTCTTCTTGTCGGTCGGTATGTATGTACTACTTCCTAGTACTAGTAGTAGCAGTACTCATACATTGATTGTCAGGAGGTCGTAATTTATAGGGCAGAAAAAAAACCCCCCCCAATTAAAGGGCGGGGCTGATCGGCTGCCCTGCAACGGATTCCGCGCCATGACGCTTCAAAGCTCATGTGTGGGGTCTCCGCTCCGCACCCCTTCAACACCACGAAACACAGCTCATCTTTCTCTTTCCTCCCCTCCACACTCTTCTTACCTCTCAGTAGAGCTTCACATTCGCAGGAAATGGCGCATTTCCTGAGAGGAAAGCAAGCTGGCATCCAAAAGGACCTGTCCGACGGCTTGTCGCCGGACTTGTTCGCCCTCGATGATGTATGTCTTGGCACCCAAGGCAACATTTTTCTGGTTGCTCACCTGTTCGCAGTTCGCTCGATATGGCATAAATTCTCAGATCAGCGCTATCGCCTACGATCCTGTTCAATCCCTTATTGCCGTTGGCACCAGTGATACTCAGTTTGGCAGCGGTCAGATCTATGTTTTCGGCCAGCGTCGGGTATCCGTTGTCTTTTCACTGCCCCGGAAGGCGTCGGCCAAGTTTCTACAATTTTGTGCCGACAAGCTTGTCAGCGTTGATTCGAAAAGTGAAATTTGTGTTTTCTCCCTCGAGACACGACAGACAATCTTCTCTTTTGCCCCTCCTAACCATGTCAGCGCATTGTTGACGGATCCTAGCCTCGACTATGCCTTCATTGGCCTGCAGAATGGTATCCGGGCAACGCTTCCGCAACGGTTACTGAAGATGCGCTAACTGGTTTTCGTAGGTGATATCATTGCATACGATCTCGATCGTGAATCTTTAACGCCTTTTAAAGTTCCCAATCTCTGGGCCCAGCGTAATCCGCGAGCACGCTTTTGCCCTGTCATCGCACTCTCCTTTTCACCTCGCGATATTGGAAAGATCCTAGTGGGGTATCCCGAAGGGCCGTGACATTCTCGTTTAAGCAGAACCTAGCACAGAAGTACTTCGAGTATGAAGTTCCCCCAGGTGCATTGGGTGGAAATTGCGATGTCCCATCCCAGGAGCCGCGCAGGCCAAGGCTTACCAGGGCCATCTGGCACCCTAACGGGATTTTCGTACTGACAGTGCATGATGACAATAGTTTGGTTCTATGGGACTCTAAAGATGGTCGCAAGATAGCGGCTAGGTCAATTACAACCCCCAATATTGACCAGCCCGGTGCTAGTTCTGAGAGACCACTGTCATCGGGGAGCGCTGTTGGGCTCAGGGACCCTATTACTCATATTGCGTGGTGTGTTAAGGGAAATGGGGATGATAGTGGACTTTTAATAGCTGGTGGTAAACCGAAGGCTGAGGCCAACAAAGGACTTACCTTCATCGACCTGGGGCCAACTCCAAATTATCAAACATCCTCTTGGGCCATAATTTCGAACTATTTCGAGTCTCCAAAACAAATAGCAAATCTCCCAACGCCCCCAGGCGCAGAAGTCGTGGATTTCTGCCTTATTCCCCGCACATCGCCTTATTATGCTGGAGGACATGATCCGATTGCCTTGATCGCCGTGCTTTCTTCGGGAGAGTTGATAACCTTGAGCTTCCCAAGCGGCCATCCGATTACCCCCACCAATATGATTCACCCTTCTCTTTCATTTGTCCATCCTTTCGTGAACAAGATGACGCTTACGCCAGTGGATCGTTCAGCTTGGCTTGGTCTCAGGGAACGGAGGTCGCAAGGACCAAAATCCTACTAGGTGGTGCGGAGGGGAAGAAGGTCCTCAAGCGCTTTGAAGATCGTAACGTGATTTCAACCGCTCATGCCGATGGCACCATTCGTCTCTGGGATGTAGGCCATGATGATGAGGTCGAGAATGGGGATGTCATCCAGGTGGATTTGGCTCGCGCCGTTGGTCGTGTCAGTAATGTTGAAGTCACTGAAATGGCTCTAAGCGGGTCAACAGGAGAGCTGTCGGTTGGCCTCAGGAGTGGTGAGGTCGTGATATTCCGTTGGGGCAGCAATGGAAATTTTGGCCACGAAGAGCCCGCCGGCGCTAACGAAGGACCGGGGAAGTTGACTAAGATCGTTCACAGAACTGATCCTGGGTTGAAGCAGGGACTTCTTCCCCTTACTCTTTTGGATATGCAACAAGGATCAGTCACCGCGCTGAAACATAGTCAAGTTGGTTTTGTCGCTGCCGGCTTCGAAGGTGGTGGTTTGGCGATCATCGACTTGCGCGGGCCGGCAGTGATTCATACTGCACGATTGTCCGAACTAACAAAACCTAGCAAGCGGAGTAGTTTCTTGAGACACCGATCGTCTGAGGACGCCCCACCAGAATGGCCAACGAGCATTGAATTTGGTGTATTGACTTTGGAGGGAGAAGGTAGGAAAAGACAGCGAGGTCTTGAGATAATCCAAATTATGCTAACCCTTGGGTTTCTGCAGATTATTCGAGCATTTGCTGCTTTGTAGGCACCAACCGGGGAAATCTTGCAACCTTTAAGATCCTTCCAACGGAAAATGGAGGCTATATGGCTTCATTTGCTGGATCAACTTTGCTGGATGATAAGGTTATAAGCATCATTCCTATTGATGCTGAGAGTGGTAACCTTGCCTTAGCTACTCCGAACGCTGTTGGGGGTTTAAGAAATGGGGTTCGGGTACACGGTGTCGTCGTTGCTGTAACCGTTTCTGGTTGCAGGATTTTCAAGCCTGCAACTTCTAAGGGCGCACATAAATCGTGGGAAGATTATCTGTGCGACTCTGCTGCTGTTGTCAAAGTTGAGGGTCGAGGTTACAGCCTTGTTGGGCTGTTTGGTGATGGAAACGTGCGGGCTTTCTCCATCCCAGGCCTCAAAGAGATGGGCTGTAAGGAAATTAATTACATGGCCGATATGAAACGCCTTTCGGAGTCCACAGTTTGCTTTAATGGAACAGTTCTTACTTGGACCGGGCCTTCCCAAGTGGGATTGTTTAACGTTTGGGGAGCTGGAACTGGGCTGTATGTGCACCTTCTCATCGGTCTGAGGTCAACAATTCTCTAATGAAGATTGCAGGCGACATTCCGAAGATCAGCTCTATAACGTACAGGCGGCCACGCCCCCACGCCCGACGATTACCAACATGCAATGGATCGCCGGTACCCAATATATTTCTCCTGCCGACATGGACATTCTCAGTTCGTATACCCGTTTCCCAGTTCTCTAGGTTTCCCTGCTACGTTTGACTGAGGAGTGTTTACTGACGGCGGTGCTACTATAGTTGGAGGCCCTGATCGCCCGCCTTCGAAAAAGATGCAAGAGCAGATGAAGCTTGAAGATCAAGAGCGCCGAAGACTTGCTAGGGAGGGACGAACCATGTCCAATCTGTCCCAGGAACAAGGCAGCCAAGAAGGATATTGGTCGTATATGCAGCGCCAAGTGCAGGAGCGCACTGAAAAGCTGAATTTTGCCGGTGACCAGATGGAACGACTGGAAGAAAACAGCAGTAATTGGGCCCGGGACGTCAACAAGTACGTTCAGAACCAGAAGAAGAAGGCTGTGCTGGGTGGTAAGTTCATGTTGATTTCTTCTTTTGACCATACCTCGCTAATCAATATAACAGTGTTAGGGTCGAAGTTTGGACTCTAAAATGCTTGTGACTGGTAGACGACTCCTTAATAAAATGCGGGACAAATATACCATTTTGATTGTCTTAGATCGTGTCTATGCAGTATAGCTATTTACATACCCTACGTTAAGTATTGGAGTTGGTGTTATTTTTTTTTGTTTTCGTTGGTTGAGTTATCTCTATATTGCCTACTTTCAGAGCTGTGTGCGTAAATATAGATAGTCCTTCTATTTCTAGTTCTTTAGGCCTTGCGAAATAACCAACCTTTTTTTCTGAAAATAACAAGCCAACCCTGCTTAAGACGAATCTCTCTGGCGCCGGTAACCTCTTCAATATCAACGACCATGTCATAGATATGTGTGAAGTAAACAATGCTAGCTCAGTGAACCCCAGCAATATAATTCTAGCCATTGAGCTCTAGTAGTAAGTACAGTAATATTAATAGGCCCTGGTAACTACTATCAGAAAGAGTAATTCACACGCTATTTAGGTCTCTGTGCACCCTTCTCAACTTTTCATGCCAGCCTAAGAATCGCCTTTCTTCTCTTATTTGTCCTAAAATACGCAAAAAAGCCTCCATTTAACTATATTGAGTTACTTCACCTCAGACTATTTAGAAGAAGAGAATGTGAGAAAGGAATACTAAAGACTAGGTGGGATTCAGTGACTTAGAATAAATTCTACTAGGACTTATGCCGTCACACAGAATACTTGGTGGAAAAACCGAGCCATAAAGGTGAATGAAACCTATCTAGCCAAGAGAAAGAAAAAGGTCTAAAAGGTAAAGAGATAGAAGGAAAGACAAGCACCCACCTACCCCCTCTCACCCTTCTATCGAGGCCGGTAGCGTAGCTTTGTGCAGTACTCGATATCATTTATAGAGATTGCTTCAATATATGCAGTCCAAATATAAGAATGTGGCATGGTTTCTCTTCTGCCTTGGGTGCGTCTATCTCTAAGGATACACCTCGAGATGCTCTGAGACTGACAAACTGGATATGTTTGACTTCAGACTCCTATATCTCCTCAGCATCTGCTATTTCATGCCCGACTGTCATTACTTCTTGTTTAAGCGCCTCGGCTGTCCCATGCAGGAGCACATGGAAGGGTTATACATGATCACATGATCATACGGGGATATACAAAGCACGACACAAGGAATTTGAGGGGGTTTTTTTTGTGGCTAGTATGCCTGTCTCTCTTTTCTATGCTTATATTGCAAGGGAACAATACAGACCCCGTTGGGCTGAGCTTACTCTCATGTATATTATCAAGGTTCACTCCTTCGAAGGGCGAGTTAATCTATCTTTTACGGGGATAACTCAACGCCCTTTAGCCGGAGGATTCACGTGAACACAGGCTGACCGACTTCAGAGCGACTATATAATTGCTTGTGTGCAACTAGCGGTGTCCAAGTACCCGGATGTCGAGGGTTCGCGCAATGCGAGGTGAGCGTTGGACGGACTATTGCGGCGCCAACCCAAGTAGGAAAAAGGTAATAGCGAGGAATAGGTAGAACGGTCAAGGCTGGTTGGGTTCACACCGTATCTATGGAGACGATAGGTCCTGATTTTGGGGCGCCATGAGTGCTTATCTCCCAACCACCTTGCATGTAGCTGCTAGGGATGGGCGGGCAACAAGGCCGGGTGTTTAGTTGGTTGGTGGATAGTGATCCTGTTACCCCCGGCTACATGGATACCCTTGCTTGTTCCTTACGTTCATAGTTAGGAATGAAAAATTGAAGATAGTTTAGAGACCTAGCAACTATTCATTCGTTAGATTATGTTGGTTCTATATCATAAACTAGATGCAGTGATTTTGTAAAACGATAGTAGGGCTGGTAGGGTTGTCATCATAACGTTGCAACTGAATCGTAAAATCATGTAAAACAAACTTGTTAAAATAAATGTCAGGAAGTAAGAGGGGTGATATCAATGCGTATTTCAAGAGATGTTCAACCTAGTGAACCATAACCTCTGGCTGGTGAGAATGTTGATTTGTAGAATCAGCCTTGGGACCATCATCTTTCTGTTCGGAGTCGTCACCCATCTCGACATCCTCATCACCATCACCGGCCTCTTCTTCGTCGAGATCCTCATCATCATCATCGCTTTCATCTTCGATATCTTCACTTTCAGCATCGGAGATGTCTTCTTCTTCTTCCTCCTTGATAGCGGGCTCGGCGCCCTCCATCTCATGATCTTCACCCTTCACATCTCTCTCTGCATCCGCAAGTTCTCTTACTAGGGCGGCTTCAAGCTCCGCCTCTTCAGCACCATAGGCACCGCTGTCATCTTCCAGAATATCAGCTTCTGGCTGATCTGGGGGATATTCGGCTGGTGCAGATTCTTCCGAGTCCCTGATGAAAAGAAGTGAATGTTAGCCACAATTAGAACTCGCATGATGATCATCAAGCACTGTACCATTTGATTGCGAATCTAGTCACTCTTGGCTTCTCCGCAAGGATGTTTCGACGGATCCGCTCGATGATTGGCTTTGCAGGAGGCTCTGCGCTGAGATCCTCCGAGTCGTATTCATTGTTCACATAGTAACCAACACGGACGAATTCTCTACCATCATAGCTACAGGTGAGGAGAATCACAGTGACGCCAAGGATTTCGGATGTTGGAATCCGCTTAAGGTCCGGTGCTTCGGCTTCAAAGATGAACTTGTTTACGCCAACGGGGATGGGACCGACGAAAAGAGAGTCAAGTTCTTGATCATATTCGGACCTATTCCAGTTAGTTAGAAACATGTCTGTCGAAAGTGCCATTTCGAGCCTCGCTTACGATGTCGCGGAACCGACGTAAGTGAGCTTCCATTCCAAGTCTAGCATCTGGTTAGCCAAGTATTGCCGCGGGGACGATATTCTATGTAATACCTTTTTGCAGCTGCTCAAGACATTCGAAAGTGATTTCGAATTGATAGGGAGCGAGGAAAGGGGCGGGGTTGTTTTGGATCTTAACCCCAAGGAGAGAAACAACGGACATGGCGGTAAACGGCTGGCGTTAATTGTAGGGCAAGGTGAGATGGAAATTTTGCGAAGGATGGGAGGTGTGGCCAACAAGACAGTAGAAGACACTTGAAAAACAAGGTCAAAGTCACACGAAGAAGAAGGAGGGAGGGAGGACGGAGAAACTGGAGACTTCAATCGAGGGGAGGGACGCAGCGAGTAAGTACTAATTAAACCAGTTCGACCCTAAAGAAGGATCGACGACGCGCCGCGTCGGTTGGGCGCATTCTCGCGCCCACCGCCTTCATCACGTGAGACGATTCTGCGTGACAGCTGCAGCTTCAGCCACAAGCTTGTGAGACGGCATCATCTATCACTGGCATTCCATTGACCTACTAAATCTTATTTTACCCCGGATTCTGTTTGAGGCGGATACCTCCCAAGAGTGATTGGGCGCCTTCTGGCTTCTCCTCTCACAGACTAGGGGTCTTAATATTCCTTGTACGTTGCTTGGGTAGCAGAAAAATCGGATCGTCCATTTCCCCCTCTGCGGAGTCAGTCGCTAACCAGATCCGATCACGCAGATTTTCTTTTCACGACACCTTGATTGGGACCCAGAAAATACTTTTGTCATGGCTGAAGAGGATGCTGAGAAGGCCTTTTTCCAGGCCCAGGCAATGAATGCGGACTCCGTGGACTATAAAGCTGTTGAAGATCAGGGCGCTAGTTCAGATTCAGATGATTATGATCCTTCGAAAACACTTCAAGATCAATATTCTGCTTCCGTTCCTGATTCTAAGCAAAGTGAAATCGCTCCTTCAAGTGCTTCTCCTTCAGACCCAACCCCCCTACACAGTCTATTCCCCCTGAAACGGATCTCAGCCAGCCCGCGGACAATGCCTACCCTTCCCAGACACCATCCCGAGCTGACTCCCAGGCATCAGCGTCGGCACCTGCGTCGGGTACCCCTGTGCCATTGAAGACGAGGACAATTGGGGGCTTTGTGGTTGAGGACGAAGATGAGGATGACGCGGGTGATGCGGATTATGAACCGCCAGCTGTACTAGGTGTCGAGGACATGAATACTATATCTATGAATGTGCCTCAGCAACCCATTTCAGGAAATGCAAATGAAGATACTCCTACCCCTGATGTATCAATGGACGGTGCTGTGCAGGCACCTGCCAACGCAAAGAATTTTCCCAATAGCTCTTATACCCCTGTTTCTGCTGCTGCTTCTAAAAGCGATACACCTGCGCTTTTGAGCCAGGATATGTACAACTCACGTACTTTACAGTCTGAAAATATGCAACATAGCGCTGCAGCTACACCCGCTCCTGATTCTCCGTCGACCGCCAAGGGTCGGTTGCCTCATGATCGCGTTGGTATCTTGGAGGACAGAATACAAGAAGACCCACGTGGTGATATCCCGGCATGGCTCGAGTTGATCAATGAACACAGAAGCCGCAATAGAATCGACAGTGCGCGTGAGGTATACGAGCGTTTCCTGACGGCGTTCCCCTTTTCTGTAAGTATTTCATGCATCGCCTTGGGAGAAGGCAAGGACTGACCCTTCTTAGGCCGAACAGTGGGTGGCATATGCAACCATGGAGTCTGAACTCAACGAGTTATATCGCCTCGAACAGATATTTAATAGGACTCTCTTGACTATTCCCGACGTCCAGCTTTGGACTGTATATCTCGACTACGTTCGCCGTCGTAACCCTTTGACAACTGATACTACTGGTCAATCAAGGAGGATTATTTCGTCCGCCTATGATTTAGCACTGCAGTATGTCGGTGTAGATAAGGATTCCGGGTCTATATGGACAGATTATGTCCAGTTCATACGCTCTGGTCCGGGGAATGTCGGCGGTTCTGGGTGGCAGGACCAGCAAAAATGGATTTGCTTCGCAAAGCTTATCAGAAAGCTATCTGCGTTCCCACTCAAGCTGTCAATAATCTTTGGAAAGAATACGACCAGTTTGAAATGGGTCTAAACAAACTCACGGTAATTTATGCCCTGCTTACCTGCAGTTGCGTGCCCACGCTAATGTTGCTATGCTTATGCACAGGGACGGAAGTTTCTTCAGGAGCAGTCACCCTCGTACATGACCGCTCGCAGCTCTTACACAGAACTGCAAAATATCACAAGGGACCTGAACCGGACAACTTTACCCAGGCTACCCCCTGTTCTAGGCTCTGATGGCGACATTGAATTCGGACAACAGGTTGATATCTGGAAGCGCTGGATCAAATGGGAGAAAGGAGACCCACTTGTTCTAAAAGAGGAAGATCAGGCTGCTTTCAAAGCTCGTGTAATTTATGTGTATAAGCAAGCTCTCATGGCTCTTAGGTTCTTACCAGAGATATGGTTTGAAGCTGCTGAATTCTGCTTCCTAAACGACATGGAGAACGAGGGGAATGAATTCTTAAAGAACGGCATAGAAGCTAACCCGGAGAGTTGTCTTCTTGCGTTCAAGCGTGCCGACCGACTGGAAATCACTTCGGAGTCCGAACAAGATCCCATAAAGCGAGGTGCCAAGGTTAGAGAACCTTATGACAAGCTGCTTAATGCGCTTTACGACTTAATCGCCAAAGCACGCACGCGAGAATCTCAAGATGTTGCACGACTCGAGGAAACTTTCGCGAAAATGAACCCGGATACTCAGCCGTCCAAGACAGACGATGACGATGACGATCAAGGTGACTCGAAGGCAAGAGAGTCGATGAAGAACGCCCAGATCGAAGCCCTGCGCAATGCGCATGCAATCCAAATCGGCATCCTTTCTAAAACGGTCTCGTTCGCATGGATTGCTCTAATGCGCGCAATGCGCCGCATACAAGGCAAGGGTAAACCTGGCGAAATGCCTGGCTCAAGACAAGTGTTTGCGGACGCCCGCAAACGAGGACGTATCACTAGTGATGTCTACATTGCAAGTGCACTCATCGAATATCATTGCTATAAAGACCCTGCTGCAACAAAGATCTTTGAACGGGGTGCTAAGCTATTCCCCGAGGATGAGAATTTCGCACTCGAATACTTGAAGCACTTGATTGATATTAATGATGTCATCAGTAGGTCCCCTGGTCCCAACTCGATTTTTCTGAGGTGGAAGCTGACATCCCTTTCCAGACGCTCGTGCAGTCTTCGAGATGACGGTAAGAAAGCTGGCATCTAACCCAGAAAATGTGCTCAAGACCAAGCCCATCTTTGCCTTCCTTCACGAATATGAGTCTCGATATGGAGATTTAGTACAAGTCATAAATCTGGAGAATCGCATGCGTGAACTGTTCCCTGAAGACCCGACGTTAGAACAGTTCGCCCATCGATACTCTAGCCCTGCTTTCGACCCTACCGCGGTGCGGCCGATCATCTCTCCCTCCCAAACAAGGCCCAAGACAGCATTCCCTACGGAACAACCCGTGTCTCGTCATGGCACTCCATCTTCGAGGTATCCGGATGCGTCAGTGACCAACTCACCGAAAAGACCATTAGAAGACTTTGATGACGATACGAATCGACCACGCAAGTTTATTCGAGCCGACTCCCCCCTGAAAACAACCCAGAGGCGACAGTTGGATCCGCCAAAACGTGCTCAACAAGTCATCAGCAGCCAGAGTGGATCTCAATTCCGGTCACAAGGTTCACCTGCTCCATTACCCCGTGACATTGTTTATCTCTTGAGCATCATTCCCTCGGCGTCATCCTACAACGCTGGTCGGTTCTCACCGGAAAAGTTGGTTGAGCTTATCCGAAGAATTGATATGCCCACCTCCATCTCACAGATTCCACTTCCATCATCTGTGCGCGGGCTTGGGTTTCCTGGTACGCTTCCAATTCTCTAGAATCTCTTTGGAGCCCCATCTTTCCTTTGTGGAACTAATGCTTACCGTTTCCGACAGGTGTCTATCGCCCACAGTAATATACCAACGCATAGAGGCATGACTCCTACTATTGCTTGATGATAATGCGCAATATCTGAATATCTTGGGTTCACATTGCCTGGTGTCTCGCATCGGCCTGGCGTGTCTTAGATCTGTAGTCATTTTCAACGTTGCTTACATTTGACGAACGGCGTTAAAGTTTGGTTTGGCAAATTGTCACGAAACCCCTATCAGCTGGGGTCAACAAGCAAATATCACTCGGTGACTTTCTTTTGGGTAGGGTATGTTATCCATTGCAGGTCGGGTTTGTACAGTTTTTCTTTATATCTCTTGGTCTCCAATATGGAACGGGTCACTAGGAAGTTGTGGTGGGTTGACGAAGGGGAAATTTTGCTTCTTTCTATGGCACGGATTGTGCGATTCTCAGGATACCTCTCGAGTCTGCAATATCTTTCTTCTACTTTGACAATGGTATTTAACGTATTCTTAAAGCGACGACGTTCTTCATCTGAGTAAAAGGCGTGGTGCGATGTATCATCCAGATCGTTCCTTCAATAAGCATCTATGCAAGTGTGCCACAGCGTCAGAGACGGGATGAGAACATGATATTGCCAGCGGTGCTCAAGCCCAAACTGATCTCCTGCCGCTCCACAACCTTTTTCGATTAATACCTTGAGCTCCAGAACATGTGTATCTCGGCCTCGACCTACTCTATTTTCCCTGGTGAGCACCATCTACACAACGTGCGGTGGCTGAGAGATGTCAAGTATAGAACAGTCCGAAAGAGGCAAGCATTGCAAACGTGACACTGACCGTGACGGGATTTCCAGCAAGAGACCTGGTCAACCATTGTCAACTTCTGTTGACTCTTCCCTTCCACGTTCAGCTCTATACGCACCTGCTGCTCAATCAACTCTCATCATCATCACCCTGGGCAACCCCCTGACCCAATCAACTACACCTCACCTGCCCTGTTGTGTTTCTTTTGCAACATCTCACCTTCCTCACCTGCCTCGTCTCACCTCTTTCATCAAGCTTCCTCCATCCTTTTCTTCCTCCAACATCTTCTCACCTACCAAACCTCTCATCACCTTTCATCACCAACCCACCCTCCGAGACCTCTAGCATTCTTATCTTCATTAGCCTCTCGCCATTTTCCATCCTTGTGTCTGTCCACCACAAACGTCTTACAAGCCGTTGTAACCCTGTATTTGACGACAACATCCATTCCATTCCACCTGCATCGCAACCCCGACCACCAGTCTAAGAATGGCTTCTGTTCCTCTGAGCGATCCAGCTTTGGACAAACCAAGGCTGAAAACAGACGTGTGCCGAAACGTTGATCTGCCCTTGTCAGCTTTCGCGATTAACCATTTGGTAAGTAGCGTGTTGATTTACATTCCCTTGGGCATTCTCGCCTTCCATTCTTATTCTCATTTCCTTGGACTCGTCTGTCTCTTTTTCTTTCTTTTTGTTCTTTTTGCCACATAAATTCCCTGTTCTTGGCTCTTCTTTGGTATTTTTATTATTCTCTCCACCCTTCACTGTGCGGATTCCCTCCTAGGCCCATGCTTATTCCCGTTTACCCAAACGGCACATGCATGGAATTACAGGGATTCACAGGCCGAAGGCTATCCATCGATGTGGGAAGCCGGAATTCATTGCTTTGTCTTCTATCACCTAAATCAAGTGCAAACGCTTCACAGGATGGCGCTCTCCCCTTATAAAAAGCCCTCTCTTCCTCCCTATGGAACTTATTCTCCTTCCCTCATCTGCCCCATCCCTATAGGATCTTGCTGCCTCGTTTTGTTTCTTTTATACTGCCGCTCTCCTGGTCTCATACCAGCGATACGTCTGCTTTCTCTTCCGCTATGGAGGAATTCGAAGTCGTCAATAAACTTACCGGCGGCCTCCGCCACCTCCGAGTTCGTGAAGCTGACGAAGTCGTGAAGTATTCTGTCCCAGTTGAAACTGTGCCTCGCCCGGGCTTTAACACCACTGGCAAAGAAGTGGACATTTCCCTGAACGCATACCCGATCACCAAGTTCCCCAGTAGGAATGTCTACCAATACGATGTGAGTGTCTCCGGCAACCATGGTATCTTGTCTGGCTCAGCCAATAGGTTCATTCGATGCCCCATTGGAAGATGTGGAGTAACTCGGAATATAGGTCAACATCGGCAACGGTGATGAGAAAAATATCGTCTGTAAGAAGGTCTGGAATTCCAATGCGAGAAAGACGGCTTTAAAGCAGATAATCTACGATGGTCGCAATGTGCGTGGTATTTCCTGTACTGTTCAACCCATAAAAAGAGGGGTTGCTCACTTTCACAGGTCCATGAATAACTACTCGAACGGGCTCAATATTATGGTCGATCTTGACGCTGAACAAGGCCGCCCCGGAGGTCGAACTTCTAATGCGTTCCGCCTGGCTGTACGCCCTACTAAGACAGTCAATCTCGCCGTCTTGAATGCCTGGCTCCAGGGACGTGCTGCTTTTTCTGAATCTGTTTTAGAGGCTCTGAGTATGTGCCTTCTTTCTCCTGTCTCTTCTTACCATTATGATTGTCTTCAAAAGTAAACTAACCATGAAAGATTTTCTTGACCACGTCATTCGCGAATGGCCCAGCGGCAGATTTTTGGCAATCCGACGTTCCTTCTTCGATGAAAATGGAGAGCACAAGGACTTGGGCAATGGTGTATTGGCCTTCAAGGGCGTATATGAGGCTATCAGGCCTGCTATTGTAAGCCAACGCTCTTTTTGTATCTATTCCTCAGACTGACAATGCTGTCTAGAATCGTGGACTTATTGTCAACATCGACGTGTCAAATACTTGCTTCTGGGCTCGCACTTCTTTTTTGGGTGCTGCTATGGCCGTCTTGGACTGTCGTGATCACCAACATCTCATGCATGAGCTTCGACCTGTCGCAGATGGCCACGGCGGCACAACCGAATCGAACGCATTTTACGAAGTCCACCGCCGGCTGAAAAAGCTCGTAGTCCAAGCACATTACCGAGGCTGTCCTTGCACGAATGTGAATTTTACCGTTAAGGGCCTCATCAATGCCAGTGCTAGCAAGTACATTATCGAGATCAAGGACAAAGCGACCGGTGTTATTGAGAAGATCACCGTTGAGCAATATTTCAAGAAGAAATACAACCTTCTACTTACTTACCCGGATCTTCCCATGGTTGAAATGACAAAGAAAGGCATTGTCTACCCAATGGAGTACTTAACTATCCATGGTCTCCACAAATATCCTTGGAAACTAAACGAATACCAGACCTCGCAGATGATCAAGTATGCTGCAGCACGCCCAGCTGATCGCCTCAATTCGATCCATAAGTCCAAGAGAATGCTGGATCATTCTAAGGACCCGGTTCTACAGACTTTCGGACTCCAAATTGACGAGAACATGATCCGTACCAAGGCTCGATTGCTTCCAAATCCTGATATCCAGTTTGGCGGCAACCAACGCCACAATCCAGGCACCAACGGCCGCTGGGATCTTCGTGGAAAGAAGTTCTATCAGCCAAACAAACAGCCTCTCAGCTGCTGGGGTGTTGGGTTTATCCCAGGCAAACGCAACGCCATCAACAAAACCCAGGTGGAGCACTTTGTTGACGGTTTCATGAAGACCTACGCTGGCCATGGAGGCAACATTACCCAACGTCCCTTAATTGCGGAATTGAAAGAGGACACCGGCGAGGCCATAAAGAGACTTTTCAACTCAACCGGCAACAAATTCCAAAGGGAGCCCCAGCTCCTGTTGATTATTGTCCCAGACAAGAACTCGTTCACATACCTCCGGATTAAGAAATCCTGTGACTGCCGTTGGGGTGTGCCTTCCCAGGTCTTGCAGTCTGCCCACGTGGCTAAGGCGAACCCGCAGTATATTTCGAACGTTTTGATGAAAGTCAATGCAAAGCTCGGGGGTACCACTGCTCGCATCATACCAAAAGTCAATGATGCCAACCTCAGGCCAATGTCGATGATCATTGGTGCGGATGTCACGCATCCTACCATAGGCGTTTGGTCGCCTTCGATGGCCGCTGTATCCGTCTGCATGGACACTTTTGGTGGGCGCTACTGGGGTGCCTGTGAGACGAATGGCGACCGAGTGGAAATTATCGCTCGTGCAAATATGGAGCACATGCTCACCCCACTTGTGCGAGAGTGGATGTCTACTGTTGGTCAAGGACGCGCTCCCGACAACGTTTATTACTTCCGCGATGGCGTCTCAGAGGGGGAGAGAGAGAAGATTCTCAAGCAAGAAGTCTTGGACATGAAGTCTATCTTCATGAAATTAACCCAAGACAAATGGAAGGGAAAGTTTACAGTTATCATCGCGAATAAGCGCCACCATATCCGAGCATTCCCTAAACCGAATGATCGCAATGCGGCCGACAAAAACGGCAATCCTCTGCCAGGACTTCTTATTGAGAAGGACGTTACTAGCCCGCATGACTGGGACTTCTTCCTATACTCCCACATTGCACTTCAAGGGACCTCACGACCTGTCCATTACCATGTTATTTTGGACCAAATTGGGCACAAAGCACATCAGCTGGAGAACATGATTTATGATCATTGTTATCAGTACATGCGGTCTACTACCTCGGTTTCATTGTGTACGGACCTTTTTCTTCCTATTGTATAAGAGTTCGTGACTAATATGAGCAATTATAGTCCCGGCAGTTTACTATGCACACCTTATTGCGGCCCGCGCTCGTCATCATGAGGATGTGCCTGCCAGTTCTGGTCCGCGAAGCGGACGCGAAGTTCCAATGACGAACCCTAAGCCCAAGGATAAGCCAGTGGACCCGAGGCTCTTGCCAATTCACGGTACTCCAAACAGACTGCCCTTTGCGGTTTGGTACATCTAGGTGCTGGCTATATGGATACTTCAATATTACGCAAAGCGGCAAATTTATTTTCACCACTTCACTACGTTTCCCCAGCCACATCTGGTATATGGACTGGGTTATCTCCGCTCCTTCAGCTTTGCTTGCTGCGCTGGCTCATGTTATCAGGATTTTCCACTAGTCATGGTCATGCATTTAGAGGCTCGAGTCAGTGACAGCTGAGCCAACGGGACTGACTGCCTTTAGCAAGGCGGATGGATCTGGGGGATGCGGATGTTGCGACGAGAGTTTCAGTATGTACCTAAGGAATATCTTTAGGCTTGCACAATCTCATCTCAACTTGCTTTGCTACGTGCATCAGCACCAAACGCTCACGGGGCGTATGGGAGTAGATAAAATCATCCTCGTATTTCTAAGTATTTGGTGCCATGAAATAACGAAAACGGAATCGAGTGCGTCACACCAATAGGTAAGATAGTCGTCTGACAACAACACTTGACTTTGAACTGCAGCTTAGCCAGGTACTGGATTGTTAAGGTCTTTAGGCCAGATGACATGTTATGTACGAGTATTGATCTCTGTTTAGAGTAGCAGAGCAGAAAATCGGATAATACATCGATGATGAACGGACCAGTAGAACAGAACAGCAAGTGAAAAGTGGAGACATGGCATGAACGAGCAAGCAAAACGAGATAAAGGAGCGGTAAGGGAGGAAGAAGAAATGAAATCCAAACGAAGAGGGAAAGAAACACTGCGCACGCTTATATTAGCATACGAGTACATGGTATAGAAGAAGAGGAGTCACCAAAGTACAGTAAAAAGAGACAAGGAAAGACACCCAGATGTGAACAATTTGGTCCGGGCTGGTTGGCTGCTCTGGGGTGCACCCTTTGTCTCGAAGTCAAAGAAGGATAAAATAGAATAGTCAAGGATTAGAACCAGCTGGTACAAAGAATGGGTGAGTTGCTGTGCTGTTTATTCCCTCCTTAAATCATGCCATGCTGCGCCATTCCATATAATCACCTGTTTTCTTTTTTGTTTCAATGTCCCGGTCCCTAATGCAGAATAATGGAGAGAAAGGATGGAAAACGGAAGCGAACGCTGCTGCCAGAAAACCAGAATATCGAATTCTCATCGCTAGCGTTCCCCCGGTGTTCGGATGTGAGTTGTTGTCTATTTCATGCCCAAGAAATGGCTTCACCTGGCCAACCAGAAATGCCGGGTATTCATGCACTGTAGAAAAACACTGAAAGCGAAATATGATGCGGAAATAAATTTAACAGAAAGGGTATTAGGACCCTGGAAGCTGGAAGAGAGAGATAGAGTCATCCAAAGGTATAGGGTAGTGGAAAGGCTAAACAAGTACCACTTTGGCCTGCAACGCGACGGGTTCGGTATGTTTCGTATAGCATCATGATGTATCACCCGCTGTACCGTTTGTCAACGGAGCCGTGCTGTTGTGGCTTTTGTTTGGATCGCCGTTAGCATCACCGGCAAGACCGGCGCCTTCACCAGCAGCAGTAACGTCTGACATGGAGTTATCTAGTCCGTTCTTAACGTTGCTAGATTCGGTCACGGGACCCCCCGAGACCTCAGCAGAGTCCTTGGAATCCAAGTTTGTCGACGTTGGGTCATCGGTAGTCTTAGTGCCATCCAGATTCGCTGCAGCTTCGTCTCCGTCGGCAACTGATCCAGGAATTTCCAGGGCCACGCCACTGTTCTTCTTGACCTTCTTCTTACTGGGTTCTGAGGGCCCAGGCTTGACAGCGTTTGGTTGCTGACCAGGAGCTGTTGGAGGGAGTGGCCGCTTTTGGGGGCTGGAAGTCGGCCCGGTCGGGGCTGAGGGTGGCTGGATCTTGCCAGAGGCTGGAAGACGGGGTTTAGCAGCCATTGGTCTTTGTTTCGGTGGTAGTTCGAGATCTTCAATCAGACCCTCGGTGTTGTTCGCTTGCAACTTGGCGCCAAAAAACCCTTGGACCAATCCAATTTGTGCCGGTAACGTCTCCGATGTGATCCGTGGGTATGGAGGGGGCGGTGGGAAGAGGGTTATGGTTTGGGTGGAACTAAAAAACAGTGAGTATCAATAATGCATCCGGAAGTGGTCTACCATACCTTGTATTCTGGGACTGAGCAGCGTTGTACATCCTATTCTGAAGTAGGTGAAGCGGGACACTGAGAGTAGCCAAGCCGAATTCCTTATCCAAACCGAGCTCCTTGAACCCGAAGAAATCTTCGTCAATGTCTTCAGCGAAGTCACCGCCAACGAACTGTTCACTGCCATCTGCAAATGCACTGGAACCATCTTCGCCTCCATCGGCAAGGGCAGGCCGCAGAAGCTCAGATAGCAAAGACCTCAAGCGGTCATGGACAGTCGCTAGCTTCGTTCCAAGTCGTTCCACATCGTCTTTGATATAAGACTCAATATCCTCAACACCGATGCCGACAGAGTTCAGTGTGTGAAGCACAATTTCCGGTTCAGTGTATGCCTTCTTCCACTGATTGCTTAAAGGCATTATATCCGTTGAATCGCTGGTAGGAACTTTGGGTGCCTCAATATAAGACTTGAAGGTTTCTCCTATCTTCTGAAAAAAATCAGAAGCGATATCAGTGACAGCGTCAAGAGCTGACGGTTGGTACTCCTCAAATCCAGTGTGGTAGAATATCTTTGCAACGGAGCGCTGCAAAGCTGCCTTGCAAACCCATGGAGAAACAACAGGCCCTTCATCATTCATCACATGAGGAGGAACATCGTGCTCAACAAATGGTTCCGGCTGGTATTTCTGGAATTGGTTCTGGTACATCTACAATTCAAATTAGGATATTGATCAGCCCTTACAGGAGCGAGCAAAACATACCTGAGATTGCAACTGCATCTGCTTGACAATGCCAATCTTGGAGCAAATCTTTCGAGTCTCTTGCATTTGCCGCATATTCGCATCCATCTTGCGGGAAAGTTTGCTCTCGGGCTGGGTGAATGTTCCCTTCGGCAAGATCCTTAGAAACTCCTCTGAAGCATCCACGATATTGCCATCAGAGTCTTCCCTCCAAAGCAGTTGCACAGGCAGATCAGGAACACCTGACATAACATCGTAATAATCAGGAATCACTTTATCCTCTTCGACCTCAATCCCTTCAGCAAGAGATTCCCCAGCTGGGCCAGGCTCCATGGCTTGTGCATTTTGCTCGTTGGACTTATCACCTTCCGCATTAACCTGTTTTTGATTCCTCAGCCACCTTCGCATACCAGCTTTGGTGCGCAGTAGAGCCGGTTCGTCCGAGTTTAGCTTATCACCTTTAAACAAGCGATGCCTTTCTGCAGCAATAAGAGCTCTGTCTTTTTTCGTGACTTGCTTCCAAACCTTGTACTCAGGATCCTCAGCTTCCGCGCCCGGTGCTGATAAAGCACTGAGTGCATTAGTCGGGGGCGCTAATCCATCAATGTCCATAGAATCACCATGACTTCCGGAGACACCAGCCGCGACGCCAGCAGGGTCTGAGGGTGTCTGTGTCCCGGGTGGTGGTGTCGCGAAACCGTTTTGGGTGCCATCGGCAGGAACATCGGAGTCCGCGCGTGCAGGTGCTGGTGGCTGGGAAGATGCAGGAGGCTCAGATCCGCTAGGGGTATTTCGAGCTGGAGCAGCACCCTTCTTGGACGATTTACCGGGAGCTTTCCTACCTCTGGAGGACATGATAGGCTCATCGTCACTCTCTTCTGCACCGTCAAGCTCCGCGAGCTGAAGTCTACGCTCCTCTGCTTCAACTTCAGCACGATCTCTGATTACAATCTCTGGAATAAGAGGAACAAGCTTCTCCGTCTCCTTTTTCATGTACAAGGCATGCTTGCGCAGAAAATGGTCCGGATTTGTGTTATATTTGAAACAGTTCGACCAGATCAGATTGATGTCATCAACAAACTCTTGCTTTGACTTATACTGCAGTGCTTTCAGCTTCTTGGTCATTGTTCCCAGATCCATGGGATGCTTGATGACTGTTAAATGAATTAGCACAGGCGTGACTTCGAATCAAGGGTATATCGTACTTGTGTAATAATCCGGCGCATCTCGTTTATTCACACGAGTCAGAAAGGCACTTGAATGCTCCGTCATCGCCTTGAGTTCGCTGAGGACTTTCTCCGCGGCTTCGTATAGCTCTTCCTGGCCGATTTTATCCTCACTGGCCCATTTGCTACGATTCTTCCGTACCTCGCTCATCAAACTCCGAGCTCCGCATCAGAGGCTTGCACCATTGTCCGCTTCATGTCGATTCTCGCAATAAGATTCTTCAACGTTAGGCTCGACGCGCCAAGGTTAGCATTGCTCAACGAGCCGTAACCATTTGAAGTTGAAGTCGCATTGTTGCCAGCATTGGC